ATAGATACGCGGTCAACATCCAAACATGTGGGTTGGAATCGGGTTAGCCTTGAGAATTACACCCGGAATATCTGGTATGTGTCAAAATTCGTGAACCGGTTCCCAAAATGGTTTGCTTTTCCTCCTCTCGTTTCTTGAGCTGGTTTTGCACATCGTCCTTTTGACCCTTCCGTCGACTGTTAAAAATGACACCAGCAATGCTGTGATGCTGAGCTTCATAGAGGCCCTCCAGGCGATGCTAGGGGCTCCGGAACCCGGGAAAAAAGAAGAGGGAAAAAAGAAGAAGAACAAAAAGAGAAGGAAAAAAGGGGGGGAAGAAAAAAAGGGGAAAAAAGAAGAAGAAGAAGAAAAAAAAAAAACACGCCCTTCCGGAGCCCGAAAACGTTCGAAAAACCACTCCCAAAGCTTTCAGCTGACAAGTTCGGCAGAGGAAACCTGCTTTTTGAGAAAAGTCTAAAAAGGACGACCTGGTTTTGCAGTCAACCCCGTTTCACGCGTTGGGGCCAACGGGGCCCGGGCCAGAGGTTTAGCTAAGGGAACAAACATTCAAACGAAGGGTAGGGTGATGCCTCCCAAACAAGTTTTGAGGATTCCTTCAAGAAAGGGATGCCCCCAATCAAAAACAACCAGGGGTTGCAAAAGCCCTGGGTTCACATCACCCCCCGCAAAAACGAAAAAGGAAAGCACAACCTCAAAGGCAAAAAAGACACATATACATATATATGGTCCCGTGTTCCGTGTTGCTACCCCCCCCCCCCCCATATGGTATGGGTCCCCCAGGACCCCCCCCCCCCCCCCCGGGCCCGAGACCCCGATCCCCCGGATCCTGTCACCTACGGTCCCACCCCCACCCGACCCCCTGAACTCGCACCCCGACACCCCGGCACCCCCACCCCCAGGACAAGCCAACCATAAACAAACCCTAAACTAACCCTAAACGAACCCTAAATACACTAAACCAAGCCCTAAACCGTAGACCTCTAAACCTAAACCAACCCTAAATCAACATAAACCAACCCTAAACAAACCCTAAACCAACCCCAAACTAACCCCAAATGCACCCTAAACTAATCCCTAAACAATAAACCGTAAACCTAGCCAACCCTAAACCAACCCTAAACTAACCCTAAACCAACCCTAAATACACCCTAAACCAAACCCTAAACCGTACACCTCTAAACCTAAACCAACCCTAAATCAACATAAACCAACCCTAAACCAACCCTAAACTAACCCTAAATACACCCTAAATATACCCTAAACCAATTCTAAACCAACCCTAAACCACCACAACCCAACCACAGGACCACAACCACAGGGGGGGGGGGTACTTGTCTGACCCATGACCATTGGTGGGGGGGGGGCTGGCAACGCTGTACCATATATATATATATATATATATATATTGCACAACTCTAAATTAATCCCATCACCCAAGTTGTGATTGTCGGCTCACTCGCCGGCGTTGCTCCCCTGAGACCCCGGCACACCCCGGGGCGTCCCGGTCTCGTGGTCCCAGACTGGGCGATGCTGGAGACTAAAATAAACAGGATCTGGCCCTTGTCCCGAAAATTCTGTTTCATATTCAGTCTACCCTCCCAACAAACATGGAAGCTGCGGGTTTTGGAAGACGATTTTCCTTCGGGGAACCTCCATGTTCCTTTCCATGCTTGTTGTCCACGTCCATGATTGCTGGAAAGAGGGTACCCCGCAATATAAACTAGTCTTGGAGGCCTGCCTTTCACCTAAGTGTGTAAAATCACCGTGATACCAAAGTGGGGTTCCCATACCCGTTACTAGGTCACTTAGGGGGTTTGCTTGGTACCTAAAACCATATCCATTCTGGGGGGTCCCCTATCCACCCATATCTAGGATGGACGAAATCCTGCACCACCAAAGAAACCCTGGAAGGATGATCCCTCTGCAAATACCAACCAACAATATTGGTGTCCCATGTTGTCAAAGTGGTGCAGGATTCCGTCCATCCGCAGTATCCACGGTCTACCCTCGTTTTGGAGTGATAAAGAGACTCCTCCGAAGAAAGTGACCCTGAAAAAGTGAACCTATTTTCGGCAGTGATCGATTCCTTTACAGCCAAAAACAAGCCTATGTAGATATATATGAGCAAATGGCAGCTTCTGGAGGCCCGAAAAGGGGTCCAATGGCAAAGCCTGGTTCCCACGAGCCAATTGCGGCCCCCGCAGGACTGCTGCATTGCCTGCCAGGCCGTAGGATCGTGGGTGGCTTGGTGGCTTGGTGGGCCCAACCTGGGTGGGGGGAGGAGGGGGGGGGGTGATTTAGGGAAGGTTGCTTTAGTGGTGAAAACATGGCTGGTCTTTGGTGCGGCCTTTAGACCTTTTGGATCCTTTTGGAAACACATGACCTTTCCCTCCTCCAAAATAGGTGGGCATGTGGCTTGGCGGGTTGGGGACGGTGAAGGAGTCTCATCAAAAGGGCAGCCGGCTGGTGATGCTGTTGACAATGGTGGATGATGCTTGCGATAAAGCATGTGATGAGGCGAGGTGCTGTTGGTGATGCTCGTGGAGGTGCTGGCGATTGTGAAAATGATGCTCATGACTAGTGGTGATGCTTGTCATGCCAGTGGTGATGCGGATGATGGTGATGGTCATACTGCTGATGCTGCTGCTGGCGATGCCGAAAGTCAGATTCTACCCGGTACGACAAGAACACCAGCATAGTGAAACAAACTATACATCCGAACAAATTTCATACGTTGATTCGCCAACCTAACATAATTGGGGGATCCCCAAGAAATGAACCTTCAAGAACCCTTCGTAAACTGGCAGGAACTATGGAGAGAGAGGACATTGCTGGCTCCACATGGCACTGATTCAAACAGGGGACCACTTGGGACACATGCACTGCACGGTGATGGTTTTGTCTCCTCCCTCTGGCTCCATGATTTTATCGTAGACAACAGTCACACTCGCGGTGGGTTGAACGGAAACCTCTGGCTTTCATGACCCCCGGTCACTTTCATGAGCCCCAGTCATAACCTCCCCCCCTTCATGACTGCAAGTGTCCAGAGGGCCAAAGGGCACTGACCACCGTCGCCCTCAACGTGCGACCCCCACCTCGAAGCCCAACCCCCGTCCGGGGGCTGAAGGGCCGAAGGGCCCTTGCTGAAGCCAGGCGCAAGCGAACTTGGCCCGCAAGCGTGGGGTTTCCCATGATTTTCTTGCGAGTTCTTATGGATTTCCTACGGGTCTCTTATGGGGCTCTATGGGTTTATGGGTTTCTTGTGGATTTCCTATGGGTTTCCAATGGTTTCCTACGGGTGTCCCACACGTTTTCCTTCGGGTTTGGCATGGGCTCGGCGTGCAAACGGAAACTGGTCAGGTGCCCCGCGCTGGCTCGTAGCCGGGTCTGGAAGGAGATTCGGCTGTCATGGCTACGAACGTGACTTTGATCTAAAAAAAACTATCGCGCAGACCAGACCCCGAAGCGGAATGTTGGATGACTACAAAATCAAAATGAAATTCACTAGTTGGATGAAACCCTATGGACACTGGTTGATAAACCACCGAAGTCCAACTGGTGCGAAGCGGATTTTGTCCGTCCGCAGTAGGACAGCTGCCACCGGCCTTCATTGACTTCGGATCTGAGCAAAGCAAACATTTGAGAGCGGCCGAAGAATCTTTGGTAAAGTCCTGAACCCTTCATATGAAGGGAAAATCAACACGAAGCTGGGTGTCCACTGTCCAGCAGGTTGCAGGGATTGTTCCGCTTTGTAAGTATACACCGTCACCCTACTATACAATGATCCGACCACCCCATTCTGTGTAGTATTGCGTTTGTGTGTGTACTTAAATTTGTGACCTTAAAGTATTACTGGAAGCACATGAGTGACACAAATCATTATTTAGTCAGCTCGAATTTTGGGCTTGAAGTATCCCAGCACCCCATATGAATGGCCTTGGTGTCCTACACTCCAGAAGAAAAATAGCCCCGCTGGATCGAAAGCAGAATTACCGAACGCCGAACCCGAGTCTTGCTGCACTGGAGCGTCTAGATTAGGTGGCGCATGTGCACGTGTAACTTTGATTAGGGGGAAACACAAACATGATCTCAATAAGCTAACGTGTTGTCAACAACAAAATAGCAGCCAAATTAAATTGTCCGGGTTGTAGAGGGAAACCTTGGACCCTGCTCCCCATGAGACAATCAACTATGTTGCCCCTAAAATAGAAGATATTTGTGGGGTGCTTTGGAGCGGGAACTGCCAGAAATACCGTCCCTTCGCGGTCTGACAAATCTCGACACAGCTTGGGCCTCTTGCAGCCTCCCATAAAAACCAAAGACCACTTCAAAAAGGACCTGAAAAGGGAGTTGCTATTCTGAAAATCTGTGGTGTTTCTGTTTAACCAAAATGGAAAATATGCTTTTAGAAAAAGAATGCAAGGTTCCGTGCCCTTTGATCAACTAGTTGGGCTGCAACCCCCCCCAACAGTTTCCTGCCGCATCCAAAAGGCCCCCTCCCGCTCTTCGCACGGAAGCCGCCAGCACTTTTCTTTGCCGGAAAACGGGGCCACAGGGCCGAAACGCAACAAGACTCCTAATCAAAGCAAGGGGATGCCTACCACGCCGTGCGCTACAAACACATGGGGCGGGGGTTCCCGCTAAACACAATTGCTTGCAAGTGGGCTGCGCGCGGGAGCCCTGTGCAGGGCTGAACATCCCGCTAGAGCGTGCAACCACGGCACTAGACAGGCCATTCCACCACCTCTGCATTCATTAGCTTGGCTCTTGACTGGAATATTTGTGTGGAAGGCTGGAAGCACTCAAAAGCGTCTAGCCTCTTCATTTCATTCAGGACCTTTCACAATTTTCCACGCTGAGCACGGCTTCCGCTGCCCACTGACATTCGGTACTGCTGAGACGCCCGTTGAAACGGTACCGATCTGGGTAGGTCCTTTCTTTTAGGGCAACCCCTTTTGGTTGGTTTGAAGGGGGCAAAGGAAAACAAAAACAAAAAAATGGTGGTTCCGTAAGACAAACCCATCTGGACCTCAGAGAGATGTTGGACTCTTCTCCCAGGCAGCTTTGATCTCCTCAAAGTCGGGCACCTGGAGCAACCCAACGGGTCCGGGCCAAGAGGCCCCAAGAATCCCAATGCTAGTCCTTGTTGGCTGGTTGCAGCAGGCAAACCTTGTGCCAGCCAATGCGGCCCCCAGAGAGGTACGATAACGCTGCCCTCGCCATCGTTTTCTAACAGGGATTTCCATGTAGAGGAATGTCTCCTTGCTGCTGCAAAACATGCAAAGGAACGAACACTTGGATCGGCAAATAACACAACGGTTCCTGCTTGGCCGTGTTTTTTTTTGCCATCAAACACATTTCATGGAAGCAACGCACCACTGCGAATCCCGGAGAAGAAAAAAAAAGCGTCTGATGGAACAATAGCAGCAGCAGCAGCAGCAGCAGCAGCAGCAGCAGCAGCAGCAGCAGCAGCAGCAGCAGCAGCAGCAGCAGCAGCAGCAGCAGCAGCAGCAGCAGCAGCAGCAGCAGCAGCAGCAGCAGCAGCGCCATCAGTACGCATCTCTTCAACAAGCATGGATGCTTACAAGATAATGTTGAAAAGAGAGAGAGAGAGAGAGAAAACAAAAAACAAAAAAAAGGGAAAGAGTTGACACAGTACCTGACATGTCCCTCCTGGCACAAAGGGTTGAAGGTGGGGACTTCTTTCATGTTAGGTGAAAACTCTTTTGATTCGTCTGGTTCTCTTCAAAATCTGAAATGCACAACTGCCCGCTCTTGGCCCCCAAAAGGCTCATACCCCCCCGACAACGTTGGGAAATCAACTCTCCCATGCTTGGCATTAACAAGCACCACCCCCTCTGCCAACCAAACCTGCCCCCGGCCGAGGCGACCGCCATGGGCGAAAATGTCCCGTGCAGCGCGTGGGGCATGAAGCTGGGCAAAGGCAGACGACCTAAAGCTGAGTCTCGTTGAAGGACTGTTGGCTTTAATCATGGGAGAACTGATGTTTGCAATATGTATACGTATATACTATGATGGAAGGGCTTAGTTCGCCCATATTCTATGGGTGTATTCTGTGTATGTATATATATATATATATATACATATATATGTAGGTTGGCTACCAAAAAATCCAGGTTGGGAGACGTCTAATTTAACAAGTGCTCCAAGACACCAGCTCCATACAGGAAATTCGACAGCGTGATTTTGGTGGGCGTGCCAATGTCCTGCAGAAATTCCTGTCACTGGTTCCTGTGAGGTTTCCCTTTAATAGAAGACCCAAGTTTTTGGGAAGGAACCTTGGGTCAGATTCAAGCCACGTCCAAAGCGGCAGGAACCCCCAATTTGAGTGGGCGGCGAGTGGGCACAACAAATGGTGCATGAGAAAGTGTGGCGTTGCTGGTGTGGCAGAGATGATGGCGGATCAAGAATCTGCGCAGGTGACTCTGATCAACCTGAAAGCAAAAGAATGAGAAGAACAGATGGTTCTATCCGAAGCTCGCCACAAGTGCAGAAGGATGATGAAACGACTCATGTTTCGGAATCGTCTTGCTAGATCAGTAAGCAACACAAAAACACCAATTTCCCACAACTATGATCCTGGTTTTCTACTTAAATGGCCCACCCACCCACCCACCCACCCACCCACCCACCCACCCACCCACCCAGCCCACTTGAACCCGCCTCCCCCGTTTTGGAAGACTCGGTGCTCCTGGATCGCTCGCTAGCCAAAACCGATCGCCTCGGCTCCCGGGCAGATGGGGCCAGTTGCCACCTTCTGGCAATCGAAGACCACCAGGTCGCAGCCTGAGGCATCGAGCCATCGGAATCTGACCTGACCCCCGGAATTTCGTTTGGCGGTCCCTGAACCGCCCCCAAAATGGCCAAGGGTGGTCCTGTTGGCTGTTTCCAAGGCACAAAAAAAGGAGAGGGATACCCGAGGCTCGGAAAAAAAGGAGAAAAAAAAGTCACCCAATTTGTGCATCTGAGTGTCTCCAAATGAGATTCGGATGGTCTCTTCGTAAATGGGTGTGTCTTATAGGGGAACCTGCAATGGGCGGTTTTCTGTTCGTCTCCGTGAACTTCCAAACTTTTGTGCGAAAAACGACTCACCCGCTGGGTGTTCTTTCGGGTCGAAGCCTGCGAAGCCGCAACTTGGAAGCAACCGAATCCAGTTCGTTGCACCGTTTTTGCATCACAAAACTGGATTCGGTTGTATCCGTTGGGAAATGCCCGGCGTTGGCTTTTGGAAAAGTGCCAAAAGGATTTCCTGGGTCTTCTAGGATCTGCGTTTCCTCATTTTGAGAGACAAAAACCCAGCTGAGTTCTCTACTCCAACCGCCAGCAAAAAGTGAGTTAGGAGGATTCACAGTTACCCTCTACAAGAACCAGGGGGTCAAATCCCCACACCACTAACCCAAACCACTGATTAGGGGGCACCTGATCAGAAGATTCTCAAGATATCAAGATCGACCCAAAAAACGCGCCCGCACCAACAATCCCCCCCCCCCCGGCCCCTATCTGTGAGTCGCAGGCTATCCTTCCGGGCATCGATGAGGATCCCCGTCAGGTAGCCTTCTGGCTCCTTCGGATTCGAAGGCCTAACTGTCAACTGGGGTTTTGGGCTGCTCACATTGGGGGGACGGTCTCGCCATTGATTCCTCACAAAACAGATGCAGTTTGCATTTGATCTCCCATCGATTCACTGGAGACGGCCGACGGTCGAAACGAAAACGCGATTGGTTGCGCCATCTCTAAGCGGAGAGAAAGACAAAGCCACTCGTGTTGCGACTGTATCTACTGTACATGGGTCTGGCCACCCGGTCTCAAGAAAGAGATCTTCCAGGTACACAAGAAGGAGGAAGGGTAACCCTGTCAAACTGGGCCAAAGAGGGGCAGGAAAGAAACAAAGCAAACATGGCCGTCCAAAAACCAAGCCTTGGCATCAGCCAAAGGGGCTCTTGCCAGCTCCTTAGCGTGGTCCGTACAAGTTGGTGGTTTCCTGCGTTTCAAATGGCCAAGTTGCCCCAACTGTTTCCAACGGCCAAATTGCCCAATTTGCTCCAAATTGCAACTTGTCAACCATAAATTCATGCTTCAGATTGCCCCCAGTGGGCTCATCTTCAAGCAGGAGC